CAAAACGCGACACGGTGATGCTATCAACAAAAAACAAAGTCGCGTACCCACCGCCATTACTTTTGTCCAGCACTGTAGTTGCAAAAGTTTTTGAGTAGAATGTTGTTTGTAAAGAATTCACGAACAACCACAACGTAAATACAGTCAGAGGATATATCGGATTTGGTCACTGGGATCGCACCTTATACTTAATAAGTAATGAACGCCAATTAAGATTATTCTAGATTTCCTTAATAATTTATCGAAAATCGAAAAAATCGTACGTATAAATCACTCATGCTCCTGAACTCTCTAAACAACTATCGTTATCAACTCCATTATCTGAATTAAATATGTATTTTATGTCTTTTAATATACTTAACAGTTCACTTCGCTTTTTTGACCTTAGTCCAGAATATTTCTTCTGGACATTTTCACCGAGTTGTTCGTGATGGTATGGAACACCATCACAAGTAACTGCGGGTTCCGTCTTTAATACCTGATATTGTTTCTATATGAAAGAGAACTTTTTCGACGTTTGCTATTGAATTAGGATTAATTTCAATTGGATCAAGGATGTAAATCTCTGGGATTTTGACTTTTGGGTTCAGTAACTACTGATGGTTGAGTTAGGAATGGATACAGTATAAGAATCGTCATCAACGCTGTAAAAATGAGTGGCTTAGCTGGTCGATCTGTTTCGCTAATTTCAACTCCGACTGTTCTCTGTCGCTGCATTTCAGTCAATGTTGGCAGTCGCATTCTGTAGGTAGGACACACCTGTTTTCTATTCTCGATGTGCTGTTGATTACAGTTAGGACATTTTTTCATGCTGTTAATATTGTTGCCGCATCTGCTATAATAGAATCAATGGTACTAGTTGCGGATAATTTTTCATCAGATAACAAAGTAAGAATGTCAAAAACATATGTATATAATTCTTTGTCGATGGCATCTTGCATTTCAGAGCTGATATCATAAAGTTCTTCATATTGTAACCTATCAAGAGAATAAGCCCAGGGTGAATCAGTATGTTGAATTTGTTATGCGATGCCATATTGAAACCCACGAAACTGGTAACAACATGGTAAACCATTGTATTAAATCCACGATCAAGATAGGTCTTTTGTCCCCGTTGTTCATTATCAAATGCAAGAAACAAAAGGCCCTCGGGTAACAGTTCTTCACAGTCCGATAATCCTTCTAGCCAGGTTTGAAATCGATGATAGCTTCCTGCACTTGTAATATGATTATCGATGTTGATAGCCTTCTTTGATCGTGTAATTGAATACTTGACAGCCGATGCAGCAAGATGAATTTCTGATACATATTTCCCATGTCGTGCACCATATATTGAATCAACCGCGACAACGGTCTTAAAAAGTTTCTCCGGGCTCAAGGGGATATTGTTGTTGTTTCGAGTCAGAGTTTCAACGAATTTAACAATGACTTGATTGCGTTTACTCAGCCATTCATGCGGCTCATATACCATGATATTGTCTATCAAGAACCTATTGTTATCTCGGATTAACGATTCCACATCGTTGTATACTGATATGCGTTCTTCGTTAACTATTTCAACGATTGCGTCAACACGTTTACAGTGATCAGCAAATCGTAAATTCCACCGTTCAGTAAGAGTTTCATTCTTTTTACTTTCTTCCTCATACAAATTCCGAAGCTCATTCATATCTTCGTAAGCCTTCTGTAGTTGTTTCTTTAGTTTTGCGATTTCAGTGTTCTGATCCTCAAGGTGCTGCTGCATTCGTATAATCTGATTGTTCAGTTCTGTTATAGACTGAGATTTCTGTCGATTTTCTAACCGAGCGATTTCATCTTCACCATGATCGAGCCGGGTCGTTTATTTTCTTGACTGCGATTTATAAAATGCTGGTAAAATTGATTGGTAGCAATAGTTTGGTTGTAATGTCTTTCACAAATCGCATATGACTTTAACGAAGAATGTATATTAGCAAGTTCAGGAATATAGTTATGAAAGAGTGCAAGTCGCTTAGCTGTTTCTTTGGTGCTTGCATGTCGCCACATTTGGTGTTCTTTCGTTTCACATGATCTCAACCCAACTTCACCATATGCTTCAACTAAACTCGCAAGACGCACGGAAGGTCTTTTGCTCTTGGTTTCTGGTAAACGGACACTGTTCAAAAAAAAAGTTTGAATACAACTTAGTTAGCGGAATTACGTTCTTCATTTCGTCTTAATACGTTAACGTATGCAAAAACTGTAATTTTCACGTCTCATTTACTTTTTCGAAACGAGTTGGCAAATATTAATATGATTTATTTTTTTGTTTTTAAAGAGTGTTTAAGCCAATCAAATTTCAAGAATTGGTTCGCAGATCATTCTAGAACTCGTTTCCTTTTTTAGTATATTCCCTGACTGTAGTATTAATATTGATAACATAAATTCGGCAAACAAAGCATTAATTACTATTACTGCATTAGATAATCTGTACAAGTCACGTGAATGTCCTTAAATTTTCGGATCTCCTCTAAGAAAATTTTTACTCGTCGCTAAAATATTATGAGTGACTATTCAGATTCCGCAGATAGCAGCACGTCGGCTGTAACTAGTTCTGATGAAACAAACCACGATGTTAAAAAAGATGACATGGGCTTGTCAACATGGGTAGATAATATGGATCAGGAAGATATATTGGATGATGAGACTTTTATTTCGCAGCAGGTCCAAGCCAGAAATAGAAAAAAGAAAAAATCCGGCGGGTTTCAATCAATGGGTTCGTGATTAGCCCTTCTGCAATTTAATTATAATTTAATAGCGAATACCTTAATTGCGTCTCAATTCCAACAGGGCTAAGCCATGCAGTATTTAAAGCTATTCTCCACAAGGGTTTCAAAGTCCCAACTCCAATACAACGTAAAACAATCCCTTTAATAATTGAAGGCAATGACGTAGTTGGTATGGCCCGCACTGGTTCCGGGAAAACAGCCGCATTTTTAATACCTATGATAGAGAAACTCAAGACTCATTCCGCTAAAGTTGGGGCACGGGTAGTGATATTGTCACCGTCACGCGAATTGGCTATTCAAACTCAAAAAGTATGCAAAGAACTTGCGAAATACACTGATCTACGTACGTGTGTAATTGTTGGAGGAGATGGTCTCGATGAACAATTCGCAATGATAGCCAACAATCCTGATATTCTAATCGCGACTCCCGGAAGATTATTACATTTGATTGTCGAGATGGAATTAGATCTGAAGACTGTAGAGTATGTTGTATTTGATGAAGCCGATAGGTTATTTGAAATGGGATTTTCGGTGCAATTACATGAGATATTAAATCGGCTGCCACATAATCGACAGACTCTGCTGTTTTCTGCTACAATGCCGAAAGGACTATACGAGTTTGCGAAGGCTGGGTTGCAAGAGCCGAAATTGGTGAGATTGGATATTGACACAAAAATAAGCAGAGACCTTGAGGTTTGCCATATTTATGTTTGAAGTATTCACATACATGTTCCTTGAGTCATGCGAGTAGTTTTAATGATAACACGATGCATTACTATAGATGGCTTTTTTCTCGGTAAAACAGCCTGAGAAGGAAGCAGCATTGCTATACATATTACGCGAGATTATCAAGGTTCCTTTGTCTTTACCCTCATCAGAAACCAAAACAAATGATGATAAACCGACAACAGAAGAAAAACGTAAGAAGAAGAAGAAGAAAAGTCAGATTTCACAGTATGCTGTCTTTCCTCACCAAACCTTGATATTTGTCTCTACAAAACATCACGTGGAATATATATCCGCATTGCTCAGTTTGGCTGGATATGAGTGTTCTTATGTTTATGGAACCCTTGATCAAACAGCAAGAAAAATACAAATCAATAATTTCAGGAATGGGAAGACTAATCTACTAGTTGTTACTGACGTGGCTGCACGTGGAATAGATATACCTATTTTGGAAAATGTAATTAATTACGATTTTGTAGACAGCAGTAAAATGTTTATACATCGTGTTGGAAGGACGGCGAGGGCTGGGCGTAGGGGTTGGGCGTATTCGTTAATAACTTCCGATGAGGTATTGTGAAGTATTATATTAAGTATATTTCGATGAGCAATATCTTTCCATGACGAATGCATTAACACATATTCAGCTTCCTTATCTACTTGATCTCCAACTTTTCCTTGGCCGGCGTCTTCTCGTTGGTTCGACATCGAGTTCACATCAGGACTATTCATCAGACATAATACTCGGTTGCTTCCCCCCCGACACTCTTGACATTGATATGGAGTGGACAAAATCAAAAATTCTGAGTGAAAACAATCTAGAATCTCTTCAGAAGGTAGCAAAAAATGGGTACAAATTGTACACAAAGTCAAGATCATCTGCATCGCCAGAGAGTCACACTAGGTCAAAACAGTTGTATACGACAAACTTGACGTTAAATATTCATCCAATGTTTGGTGTGTAGCGTCTATTTGTGCGAATTATGTAAGCGCTTAATTAAATGAATCCTATGGTCGTAACTAATGGGTGAATTAATGTAGCCGAACAAGTCGACGAACAGGAGAAAAGTCTTTTGAATTTTATAACATCGATATCTAATTTCCGCCCTAGCGAGGTATGTTTGGGTAGAGTGCCAAGTTCATTGATTTCATGATCCATTTTCGAATATAAACTTATTTTCTATTAGACGATATTCGAAATAGGCAAGCGAGGCTCTAATAAGCAGTCGTCGGCTGCTCAAATAATGAAGAAGCGACGTAGCACCATCGGGAAACTGATTGAAGATTACAAAGCCAATAAAAAAGAAGTAACGGATGTGAACGAAACAACAGATACGAATGGTCAGGAAACATTGACAATGATATCAGATATTTCGGAAATGGAAGACCTTCAGGTAGTTACAAGAACATATCTCGTGTACGATTTGTTCAATAGCGTGACCTTTTCATTTATCATAGGAGAGTCATTCGTCCAATAAGAGAAAATCTGTGGGCAAAAGTGAACCAAAAGGTTGCGTATCCTATTATTTACGAGGCCGGTCTATAAAATATCTGTATCTCTCGAAAAGGTGACCAATCTCTTCTAAAATACTTTCTTTAAATAGCAAAAAAGCAGAAAGTAAAATCTTTTAAAGATGATGAATATTATATTCCTCACGTTCAGAAAGATGCCAACACAGAAAAAGGGTATGCTACACAGATGATCATATGTTAAAATCCCTTCCATGCAACTAATGGCTTAACCATCCGATTGCGCAAAAGTTATTCGATCACGCAAGGCAGCTCCTTTGCGGAACAAGCACAAAGAGCTGTCTTGGACTCTCAAGGTGACGAACATTCTCTACTACAAAAGACGAATGCATTAAGATGGGATTCCAAAAAGAAGAATTTTGTTCGTGGCCTCGGTACAGATAACAAGAAATTGATCACAACAGAAAGCGGAACAAAAATACCAGCGACATATAAAAGCGGACGGTAAGTTAGTTTCTTTGTTATCTAACTTTCATGAATCGAAATTATCCTAACACATGCCTTCATTAGGTTCAAAGAATGGCAAAAACAGAACAAAATATCGATGCCATCTACAGGTGAAAAGGAAATTTCTGGATCTCACCTACAAACAAAGCGCTACCGTCACAATAAAATTACCGCGCCTAAACCACCAGACCCGTTATCTACTAACTATGAAAAGAAGAAGAAAAAGTTGCAGAAGATCGGTACTGGGAATGCATCGGGCAACGGAGCGGACGAAAAGTTCAAGACAGAGTTGAAAACCGTTGATCAGATAAGCAAGGAAAGGACGATAAAAGCAAAGAGAAAAGCCAAAAATGCAAGGCTACCGCGAAAATCGCGGAAGAAATAAGTTGAGAGTTTGGCACTAATTAGGTTGATACTGGAATTCAATCATATAATATAATGGATGATTCCTATTTATTGGCTTATTAATAATTACCAAATATGTTAATTGTACCATGAATTTACTATATATGGGGCATGCTTCACATGAATCACAACATTAACAGTTATGACTTGATTCATATTCGAATCTTTTGACAACTTGTTAACTTTATTTTCTGATTCCTTGGCCGTCGTTAGACTTTCCCTGATGGCTCGATGCTCAGTACAAACGCTTCTTTTTTTTCTTCCTTAGAACAGTTTTGATTGTATAGACTGCGGTGACTTCTCAATAACAACTTTTTGACCGCCAACCTGTTTAATTATCCGTATATATAAATGAATGTACATGAAACTGATGGGTAATAAAATCAATGTCCATACGCCTTAAATACAATTATTGTTTGGCCATTTAGGCAAGCTCTCATGTTAATTATTTGAGATTAGGATGTACAATAAATTCATGGAGAGCTTTGCCAGCTGGCACCATTGGATACACGTGTTCGTGTTTTTCTATGACAACATTACAGACAATAGGACCATCATTATATTCCAAAAATTCTTTCATTTTCTCCGGCAATTCTTGCTCAGTGCGGATCCTGAGTGCCTTGACACCCATTGACTGAAAGGATTGGAATGTTAGATTAATAAGTAAACAAATCAAACAGAGTAATGTATGGAAACACATTAGGTATTTCTCTGAATCCACACGCCATCCATTCTTACCTCTGCAAATTTAACAAAATCAGGATTGATCATTTCTGTTTGGCTGTACCGCTCTTCATAAAACAAGTCTTGCCACTGTTTAACCATTCCCTGGAAACAATTATCTAATATCAACACTTTCACCCCAATATTATATTGAGCAGCTGTAGCCAATTCCATTCCTGTCATACAAAAGCTAGCATCCCCATCAATGTCAATAACAATTTTATCAGGACTAGCAACTTTGGCGCCAATAGCTGAGGGAAGACCGTATCCCATTGTACCAAGTCCACCAGAAGTAATCATAGTGCGAGGATATCGCCAACGGAAGAATTGTGCTGCCCACATCTGATGTTGACCTACCCCGGTGGTCAGGAGAACTCTATCCTTAATGTCGTGAGTTTGCCGATCAAGTTCTTCAATTACTTGTTGTGGTTTGAGTGGAGCACCTGGCGATGCTTTAGTATATGTCCACGGGTACTTCGCCTTCCATTCGTCTATCATCGCAAACCATTCAGCCCGTTCAGACGATTCAATCAGAGGAAGAAGCTTCGCAAGATTTTCGGTTACATCTCCTGCGACGGCTGCTGTTGCTTGTATAACTTTGTTTATATTTTTTAGACTAATCTCGAAATGGACAATACCACCTCGGCCCTCTTTTGCTGCTTGCTTAGCCGCTGGGGCAAAATCTATGTAAATTGACAAAGCAGTATTAAACACACTTTCGTATCAACATTTCGTACGCTATAAAACCACTAATTACACAGATACTTACGAGCCAAATGACCGGTAACACGATCGTCAAATCTTGCTCCCAATGCAATTATAGCATCAGCTTGTTGCATTGCAAGGTTGGCATAAGCAGATCCATGCATACCAAGCATATGCAAACTACGATTATCCAACTCATCGAAAGCTCCAAGACCTTGCAAAGTAGTTGTAACAGGTATGTTACCAATCTTGGCCAGCTCTCGCAGTAGTATCGGACCTTCTTCAGTTGACAAAACACCCTGTCCAGCATATATAATGGGTCGTTTAGCCTTATTTATTATCTCGGCCGCCTGAATGATATTTGGGTTGAGTGTGGCATCGGCACGATCTGAAGATATAATATTACTAAACGCACGGGACGGAATCGTATATTTGCGTGGTACAGGTTTCTTCAGAATCCCAGCCGTGATATCCTTTGGTAGGTCAACCAATACCGGACCAGGTCGACCGGTCGTAGCAATTTCAAATGCTTCAGTGATACGACGTGGTAACTCGGCCACATCTTTTACCATTACATTCCACTACACAACATGCAGAAAATACTTGTCAGCACACTAGCCGTCAGCATTCAACGTTCACGCGTCTCATCCTTTTTCGGGACGTTACCTTTGTGCAAGCACGACTAATGCCAACAACATCCGCCTCTTGAAAGGCATCGGTTCCGATTGCCGAAGTTGGGACTTGTCCAGTAAATACAACCATTGGTGTGCCATCGGATAGTGCATCTTGCATCGGAGTGATAGCATTCGTTGCGCCTGGACCTGAAGTCACCAACACGACACCTGGTTTACCGCTTGCTCGTGCATATCCTTCGGCCATGTGCCCTGCACCTTGTTCATGTCTCGGAAGGATAAATTCAAAATGCCTCGAATTGTATATTGCATCAAAGACCGGAAGAATTGCACCGCCGGGATAACCAAAGATGCATTTTACTCCATGACGAAGCATCATGTCGTGAAAAATTTGTCCACCAGAGAGGCCTACGAAAGAATTGTCATAGGCTGGCTCATGAGCATCTGTGCGTTCACCCAGAGGGATAATTTGCTTGCGAAGAGGAGGTGGCGGAGTGTAAGGACCTGTAGGTATCGGCCGAGGGCTAATATGTTAGCAAGCGAGAAATAAAGACAAAAGGAGTAAGCAACAGGCTATATCTTGAGTATTTTTGCAGCTTAGCCAACTATATGGTATATATTGACATGGCCATATTCGTTTTCATGATTACAACGGTGATACCTAGCGCTGGCCTTCCATCGTATCTGGGTCGCTCTCAAAGAAGTAGCAAGCGTTGTTGTTTTTGTTCTAGTGACAGTGTACGAGGATAGAAGCAACGAACGCGCGGATGTCGTTTGTCGTGCACTATTGGAAAGAATGGGTTGTATCATGTTTAAACTTTTTTATGACAGTTACCACCTTCTTTTACGGTTTAGAACTGTATGCCTGTTTTATACAACTAGGTTTTTATAGATGTCGATCACAAAAAATTTTTTGATCACGAAATTTATTGGATATGACTCAGATAGATTAACAATGATTCACTATAACATAGTCGATATGGTACGTAACACAATCAAAGAGTTTATTTAATACAATCAAAGATGTCTCTTGGCAACATTATGTTTCTCTATCCATGGGTGCTTTAGAACTTCCTTAGCAGGAAGCCTTTTTAAAGGGTCCACTTGCATTAACTGTGATTTAAAAACGATACCAACTGAATAACGGATAAATCTGTGCAAAAAGAATTGAATTACGCTTGGTCTTACCTTTCCGATGAGATCTCCGGCTTCTTCTGATACATATTCTGGTACATTATTCCGTTCATTTCTTATAATCCGTTTGTATATATGATTAGGATCATTATTCTGGTTTATAGTATCAACGTATGGAGCTTCACCCGTTAGTATTTCGTAGATAAGTACTCCGAGGGCCCACAAGTCAACAGCGTGTGTGTATGGTTTTCCCATGACTATTTCTGGAGCTATATAATCCGGAGTACCGCAGACGGTCCGACGCCGGTCTTCTGGCGCGTGGACAGACCAACCAAAATCTGCTAGTTTTAGATTGCCCGTGTGATCAATTAATATGTTCTCCGGCTTGAGATCACGATGAATTAGTTGTCGTTCATGTAAATATTCCAGAGCACTTGTAACTTGTGCAATTGTTTTCGCGGCTTTCATTTCAGGAAACCGACCATATTTCTGAATATGGCTCATGAGAACGCCCCTTGATGCATATTCCAAAATTAAATAAATGCGCCATTTGTCATGGAAGTATCCATACAGACGCAAAATGTTTGGATGACGTAACTGTGATTGTATGTCTATTTCTCGCTTCAACTGTGCTTGCAAACGAGTATTTACTAGATCTTTTTTCAACATTGATTTGAGTGCACAGACGAACTTGCTCTCTTTCTCCCGTGCAATGTAAACCTTGCCGAACCGACCTGATCCAAGTTTTGCACCCAATTCGAAATCGCGAAGTGCCCATTCATTGGTTTTGACTCGATTGTGAACGCTTTGGCCATTCTCTGAAGACCCTCGTTGGTTATTGTTGATTGTATTTATATCTTTTGGAGCAAGCACTTTGGCGTCGTATTCATTTCGATTTGAAGTGCTGTTTGAATTGACTCTTTCTGAAGACCCTCGTTGGTTATTTCTGATTGTGTTGATATCTTTTGGAGCAAATACTTTGGCATCGTGTTCATTTCGATTTGAAGTGCTGTTTGAATTGACTCGATTGTGAACGCTTTGACTATTCTCTGAAGACCCTCGTTGGTTATTTCTTATATCTTTTGGAGCAAACACTTTGGCATCGTGTTCATTTCGGTTTGAATTGCCGGTTGAATTGACTCGACAGTGAACTATTTGACTATTGCCTGAAGACCCTCGTTGGTTATTTCTAATATCTTTTGGAGCAAGCACTCTGGCATCGTGTTCATTTCGGTTTGAATTGCCGTTTGAATTGACTCGACTGTGAACGATTTGACTATTGCCTGAAGACCCTCGTTGGTTATTACTGATTGTGTCGATATCTTTTAGAGCAGACATTTTGGCATCGTGTTCATTTTGATTTGAATTGCCGTTTGAATTGACTCGACTGTGAACTATTTGACTATTGCCTGAAGACCCTCGTTGGTTATTTCTAATATCTTTTGGAGCAAGCACTCTGGCATCGT